ATGCGAATGTACACATTACTTTTGTTATTCTCTGTACAATTCTTTCTCTCTTTCTCTCTCTCTCTCTCTTTGTCACAGTGTTGTGAGTTCAGTCTGCTTTATCGTGCCCATGATAATGTAAAGGTAGTTGGGGAGAACCACAATCTTTCATACCCTGAAGGGAAGTAGCATATAAAGTAAGTATTTCTAAAGAGTTAATGGCTTAGTTCCAATCCGACATTTATATTACGTTATTTTTAGTGGATGTCCCTATTTGAAATAGACGTCCCCCTTTTTTTTTGTTTAAATGCTGTGTCTTACGTCTGTCGGCCTGTCGTATCCTGTTGGCACTCCTAAATTTCTTTAAAAGACAACTGGAAAAAAATCTTAGCCAGCGATTGTTATAAAACTGATTCAAGATATAAAAATGCCTCAAAGCTCGAAAAGTATTATTCCTAGGCAGATGCTGCGGGATGATTATTAACTCCTAGTTGAGTATCTATCAAGACAAATTCTATATATATTACAACTCTAATCAGTTAAGATCTGAAGCTATGATAGCCATCATCTAATATAGCATGAGAGCATTTTTTATTACTATTTTATTTCCTTTGATTTCTGGTGTGTACACTTTTCTTTCCGGGTTCTGCCCAGAGAACTAAAATGGCATCATGATATTTTCCACTAACAAAAAAAAACATATTCTACATAGATAAAGCCCTTCGTATGGTGTCGAATATATTAGTGAGAATAAATTTTCGTATTTCATTAAGGATTATTATTATTATTATTATTATTATTATTATTATTATTAGTAGTAGTAGTAGTAGTAGTAGTATATTCAGTTTATATTGTATGCTCATTTCCTTCCGAGTCCCAAAGGTCAGAAATGATGACGTGAAATTTTATACTGTATATTTGTGTATACAACTGAAATAAAACAAAGTAAATACTGTTACTTTTTTGCATGGCCAAAGCACTATTTTTAAAAAAGCTCCAATATTTGCCCGATTATCAATGTGTTACACCCCGTTTCCCTGTCGTAAAAATTTTCATGCTCAATTTAAGCCAGTTTGCTGCATTCACTTACGGCATTTTAAATTCATAGACCATTAACTAAGTTCTCTTCATTATAAAATCGCGATAGTTATGGATTTCGAAGACTTAACTAAAATAGAATTTTGCGTGCGTTTTACAAAATTAATTTACAAGGTCCCTTTGGGGAAGAGAGTCATTATCATCCTAACGGATTTATGCTAATATATTTAATAATAATAATAACGACGAAATTGATTGATTACTGAATAAATTTTCCGTAAAATCGTATATTTTCGCCAAATTCAACTTGCTGGCTAATGATTCTTTTGGGGCTGATGGAGTAAAATTTAAGGTATTCCCTTGTAAAAACAGGACGCAATACAGTGATGGCCTAAATAGTTTAAGTATACAAGCTTCAAAGGAATTAGTTAATTTAATTAACACAAAGAAGGAACGAAACTTACTAATTTTAATATCTGGTGAGTATACGTATATATATATATATATATATATATATATATATATATATATATATATATATATATATATATATATATATATATAAATTAGAAATGATTAATATCTTACTGAAGTCTCCGAGGTTTTTCTAATCCTATTGTACTCTACATTGAACAAAATGTTCAGCTCCAAATTATAATGATGATCCCTGTTGCTGTTTTGACCTCCTGATCCAGTTTTCTTCTCTGCTGTTCCCTCTTATGAAAAACTTATTCACCTCTCTCCTCATGCTTCTTGAATGGAATTTGAAGTGGGAAGCCAGAGTATGAATGTCGTTACCATTACCGAAGGCCTAAGTGATCTTTTTACTCTCACCATTGCTCAGTTGGGGAGATATAGTGGGGCTGACACGAAACGACTTTAGCCTGTTCTCTTTCTAGCTGAATAACTTGAAAGTGTTTTTCAGTGATTCTAACAACAAATAGTGTCAAGTAGCTGAACGTTTTATCTTAAAACCGGTGAAAAAGAAACTCCTTTAGTCTATTGTTTTTTTTTGTTTTTTGTGGGATGGACAATTATCCCATACTGCTATACTATTTGGACAATTTTTCTGTTACACTGATACACACACACACAGAACCACACACACACACACAGAAACACACACACACAGAAACAGGCACACACATTAACACACGTACAGACACAGACATATATATATATATATATATATATATATATATATATATATATATATATATATATATATATATATATATGTATATATAATTCCAAATTCGCTTGAAGATGAAACAGAACTAATGCTTTTAATTTAGTTATATAATTCAATTTGAATTTTCTTTTTTTGTTTTGAAACATTGTAATCTCTGTGCAGCGAAACAACCATATTTTAAATCAGTTAATATACAATATTTATGCTCTGTAAATTTATATTGAGCACCATTTTGTAAAAAATAATAATATCAATAAGAACACCGCATTATATATCTTACTGTTTTTTTTTATATATATATATATATATATATATATATATATATATATATATATATATATATATATATATATAGCCGATATATATATATATATATATATATATATATATATATATATATATATATATAAAATAAAATAAAACACAAGAATAATATATATATATATATATATATATATATATATAAAATAAAATTTAAAACACAAGAATAATATATATATATGTATATAAAATTTAAAACACAAGAATAAAATATATATATATATGTATATAAAATTTAAAGCACAAGAATAATATATATATATGTACATAAAATTTAAAACACAAGAATAAAATATATATATATATGTATATAAAATTTAAAAACACAAGAATAATATATATATATATATATATATATATATATATGTATATATAAAATTTAAAACACGAGAATGATATATATATATAAAATTAAAAACACAAGAATAATATATATATATATATGTATATAAAATTTAAAACACAAGAATTATATATATATACATATATATATATATATATATATATATATATATATATATTATTCTTGTGCTGATAGTACTCGATGTAGAATAATGCATTACAAATTATATATTAACAATAAATATACATTTTTTTTTCTCACTGGTAGCTCAACTCAGGGTTTCAGTCCCAACGAAATCTTCAGGCGTTGATTGAAAACAGTGTAGAAAATTCCTTATTATTTACAGGATTTGTTTTGAAAAGTAGTTAAAAAAAAACAAATAAAAAAAAGTATCAATAAATGGGAATATATATGAAACCGTCTTTTTTTACTCCCTATATTTCGTTCTTTAAATTTAGTTAGATACGCTTATTTTATTTCCGTAATTTTTGCCAAACTCTCCCGAACTGTTTCTTTACATGTGAATTTATCATTATTTCTCTTCCGTCTATTTTGAATTGCTTGCCTGATTCCGATCTTTACTTTTGGTTTTCTCTCTTTGTTGCTTTTCGTAGTTGTTCCCTTGTCGATTGTTCAAGCCCTTCATTAATCATTCATCGCCTCCTTTCATGACACGAGCTACATTTCATTAAAGCCCAATGAATAAGAAGCCGCAAGCGAATAGACAGATGCATTCAATCTAAGACTCAGAGGCAAACTAAGTTTAGCGCGGGAACAGCGATATACAGCAACTGGTAGAAGAAAGATATCCAAAGGGAAATGGGAAACGCTGTTCCAGAAATGAAACGTGAACATCAAGATGGGACTCTGTGATGCTCTAAAGCTAACAATATCAGTGCAGCAACGATGTATTTGCCTTCAAGTTCGTAGGTTATTTTCTATCGAATATTCATTAAATGTTCTAACTTTTTTCTTATTTCTATTTTATTATTGTTTTGACATTTTTTCTTTCTAACGGTTATCTATCTATCTATCTATCTATAGTCTTTTTCTTTCTTGATTTCTATCTATCTATCTATCTATCTATCTATCTATCTATCTATTTAAACTCTATTTCTTTCTTGATTTCTATCTATCTATTTAAAGTTTTTTCTTTCTTGATTTTTATCTATCTATCTATCTATCTATCTATCTATCTATCTCTTTCTTACCATCTATCTATTTCTTATTATCTTATCTATCTATCTATCTATCTATCTACCTATCTAAAGTCTATTTCTTTCTTGATTTTTATCTATCTATCTATCTATCTATCTATTTCTTTCTTACCATCTATTTCTTATTATCTATCTGTCTATCTATCTATCTTTCTAAAGTCTATTTCTTTCTTGATTTCTATCTATCTATCTATCTACAAACTATTTCTTTCTTAACATCTATCTATTTCTTACTATCTATCTATCTATCTATCTAAAGTATATTTCTTTCTTACTTTCTATCTATCCAAAATCTAATTCCTTCTAGCTTTCTATCTATCTAACAATCTGTCTACATCTCAATTTTCATAAGGTATTATTCCTATAAACCTGTAACCTAATCATATACAATAATGGATCTTATGTTTTTATAGATGAATAATTCAACTAGAAAAATTGAAAAATTAATGCAATGTATCTAAATACAAATAAGAGACATGTCATAAGTGTTCATTCCACCTTAAATAAAAATAACTGTTTTGCGGCAATTTTCATCATCAACTTGAGATTTTTATTGTTAAATTTTTTTGAGCCAATCTATCTATCTATCATCTATCTATCTATCTATCTATCTATCTATGCAGGGTCGGCGCAAGTGTTTCGTACCGCACCGATTCTTTGATACGGGGCCTCTACTAAATCTCATTTTTTATAGGGTAGTATTTATATAAAGTAAAATTTTATTGTAACCTAATTATGCACAGTAATGGATCATATGCTATATAGATGAACAATTCAACTAGAACAATTGGAAATAAATACAATATATCTAAATACAAATTAGAGACATGATATAATAGATGTTTCCATCTTAAATACATCAACAATGTTTTGCAGCAGTTTTTAACATCGTTTGGGATTTTTCATTTAATGAATTTTGACACATTCTACACTATGGATGGAAAATAGTGGATTTCGATGGAAAAAGAGCCCAGGATATCTTCATAATTTTTCAACCTTTAATAGTTAAAAGAAGGCAAATGTTGATAAAATGGCATGGGTCACAAACAATTGCCATAGGACTCCAATCACTCTTGTCTCCGCCCCAGTCGGTTGATTCAGGAGCAGTACGCGCCAGCCATCTATCTATCTATCTATCTATCTATCTATCTATCTATCTATCTATCTATCTATCTATCTATCTGCTTGGAATTCTGTCTATCATTCAATCTATCTACTTGTTCATTTTTTTCCTTTTACACATATATTTATATGTCTGTTTTTTTACTATGTTTATATAATACATGGCTCAAGAGCCACTCAAATGAGAAGAATGCTGAGGCAGATTTCTGCACGGGTGTAAGAGAAGATAGCGTGCATATAGTGAAGATAATAAGGTAGATATCCGTCTTAACATAAACTAAGGCGTTACGATTGTAGTAGTCTGGGAAGCATGCTCTCGGGAGTCTATTCTACAGAGTGACAGTCCTGGCGAAGAAGGTCACTGAGTGGGAATTTCTCGTTCCCAAAATAATATGATCGAAATTATTATGATGCGACGGTCTGTAATTGTTGTGAAGGTCTGAACTTGTTTATACGTTTTTCTTTCGGAGAGAGACAGAGTGAAGGTGTTCATGTGCTGTGTGTGCATCTATCAGTATACATTGGTAAATAATGCACAATGCCAATTTAATTTATTTCTATTGGGAATGGTTCTGAGAAACAAACATCGTAATACATTGGTGCATCTGTAACATTATTTGTACGTATTACATAATAATTAATAATTCTGTCATAGAAAAATATATACGTGCGTGTCTACCCATCTGTCATCCTATATTTAAATATATTTACTATGATAGAAAATACATATCAACTTTAAAAGTATTGTTCCAATAAATTGCTATACACAACGAACAAAACAGCGAATTATTTTATGACAATATATAATATATATTTACATGATCACTTATATATATATATATATATATATATATATATATATATATATATACACACACACACACACACACACACACACATATATATATATATATATATATATATATATATATATATATATATATATTATAATTATTGATTTTAATATGTTTTTCCAAAGTTTCTAAACTATGTTTCAAAAATATTTTTGAAACATGGTTAGAACTGTGTAGCGGAAAAACATATTTTAAATCAATTAATTTATAATATTAATGCTCTGTAAATTTATATTGAAACACTATTTTGTAAAATAAAAAATATCTATAAGAACACCGGATTATATATTTACTGTTCTTTTCTTTTATATATATATATATATATATATATATATATATATATATACATATATATATATAATTGAACATTGAAGTCAACAGTCAGAAGCGAAAGGCTGTTTCATGCTAGACGCAATCGTCAGTCCTACCATGAAGCAGACTGTAACCTCTGAGGACGGTAGATAGCAATTGACAATGCATTAATATTTTTACAGATTAATGTTGATGGAAAAAATGAAGCCGAAAGAGAGTTCCATATGATAGAAATGCAGGATAAGTAACAGTTAACATAGAAATTATGGCTACATTTAGCTAGCTCAACTCTAAATTGATGATATATTTCCGCCAAAGCACGGTAGATTCCTACCGCAATTATTGTTAGTATATCAGCAGTTGATATGGAAAAACGAATACTGTATTGCTGGGCTGAAAAAAGGCGCCGTGACGAGAGATGACGAAACAAAACAGCATTACGGCACATAGAACTTTTTTCAACCAGAGGTAGAAGGCTAATAGGGCGATAGATAGATGAGTCAAACGGTTCACCAGAGATCTTAAAAATTGGAACAAAAGAATATGATTCTAGTAAGAACGAAAGCAGGAGGCAGCAAGGCACAGAGATCGACAACTTTTACGAGCTTTGCACGCAGCTAGCATGGTTCTTAATGACTATTACAGGGATGGCGTAAGGTTCACTTTCTCTGTGGGGATCAACGTTAAACATGACAGCAGAAACCATGGAAGGTGTTATATGGATATCACTCAACACTGAATCAGTTCTAAGCGAGAAGTTAGGCAGGGATACTCCAGACGAATCAAGAATAGAGTCTGAGGAGAAGGTGCAAAGCATTCAGCTTCATCAGCAGAGGATGAAGAGTGGCGATAAAGAACTTGCGTTTATTTAGTAAGCTATTACAGAGATGCCAGTAGTTACGAGAACCAAAGATTTTAGATATTATGCGGTGCCTCGGTCTCTCAGCAAACAGGGAATTAGCTTTTTCGAGGACTTACATACATATATTACGAGCAGTAGAAAATAAGCCCCTGTTATGAAGAGAGCTGTCCCTGCTAGTATAGGCGAAAATAGTGGTCCCTAAAAGCATGGCGGTCGAGGATGCTCGTGTGAACGATAGAGACGATTGCGGTTCCGACTGGTATAAGGGATGAAAGCGTCCATGCCGATTTTTATATGTATATATATATATATATATATGTGTGTGTGTGTGTGTGTGTGTGTGTGTGTGCGCGCGCAAAGATTTAGAAAAATAGGAAAGAACATGTTAGGCAAATAATCCGAGATTCTTTAGTATATGTGTTTTTATTAAAAAAAAAAAACAGTCCTCCATAAGGAAATTTTTGCATGAAATAAATAGCATAAAAAAAATAAATTTCATAATCTAATAAAACCTTTAAAAGCTTAACCCGATCATAAGATAGAAAAACCCTTTATGAAGTCGTCAAAAAACTAATTGTAGTTCAGTGCAGCGCGTTTATGTACGAAACAGTCTTTCAGAAATAAAGAAAATAAATAAATAAAGAAAGTAAAATTCTCTAGACATTTAAAGACGTATTATGGTGCCAAAAGATATCAGTCACTGTGACTGACCAGACGATGTGTGTACATGAATGCCGTCATTTGCTTTGAAATGGAAACACCAGCCCTCTTTCTTTCTTTTCACCGCTTTTCGAAGATGACTGATATCTTGATACAACCTAACTCGTACGCCCCGTATCAAAATGGTCGTTTCCAGAGTAATTAATTTTGTGAATGAAAATGCTTATAATGAGGCGTACATTTCAAGATTAGTTATTCCTATAATTTTGCTTGAGGATGAAACACGGCTTGATACTTTAATTCAATTTAATTTCACTTATTATATTGAGGTTTTTGGCTCTTGTATTTGAAACATGAGAACTCTTATGTAGCGAAGGAATTATATTTTTTTAAATAATTATATATATATATTTTCCGTCATGCCAACACTCGCTTACAACAGTTGGCGTCTCACATCCTCCCAATTAGATGAGCCAAACGGTTCACCAGAGATCTTAAAAATTGGAAACAAAAGAATATGATTCTAGTAAGATCGAAAGCAGGAGGCAGCAAGGCACAGAGATCGACAACTTTTACGAGCTTTGCACGCAGCTAGCATGGGTCTTAATGACTATTACAGGGATGGCATTAGGTTCACTTTCTCTGTGGGGATCAACGTTAAACATGACAGCAGAAACCATGGAAGGTGTTATATGGATATCACTCAACACTGAATCAGTTCTAAGCGAGAAGTTAGGCAGGGATACTCCAGTCGAATCAAGAATAGAGTCTGACGAGTAGGTGCAAAGCATCCAGCTTCATCAGCAGAGGATGAAGAGTGGCGATAAAGAACTTGCGTTTATTTAGTAAGCTATTACAGAGATGCCAGTAGTTACGAGAACCAAAGATTTTAGAAATTATGCGGGGTCTCTTTATCTCAGCAAACAGGGAACTAGCTTTTTCGAGGACTTACATACATATATTACGAGCAGTAGAAAATAAGCCCCTGTTATGAAGAGAGCTGCCCCGCTAGTATAGGCGAAAATAGTGGTCCCTGTGTGCTATGGCGGTCGAGGATGCTCGTGTGAACGATAGAGACGATTGCGGTTCCGACTGGTATAAGGGATGAAAGCGTCCATAATGATTTATATATATATATATATATATATATATATATATATATATATACATATACATATAAATATATATATATATATATATATATATATATATATATATATATATATATATGTGTGTGTGTGTGTGTGTGTGTGTGTGTGTGTGTTGTGTGTGTAGCGCAAATATTTAGAAAATAGGAAAGAACATGTTAGGCAAATAATCCGAGATTCTTTAGTATATGTGTTTTTATTAAAAAAAAAAAAAACAGTCCTCCATAAGGAAATTTTTGCATGAAATAAATAGCATAAAAAAAATAAATTTCATAATCTAATAAAACCTTTAAAAGCTTAACCCGATCATAAGATAGAAAAAACCTTTATGAAGTCGTCAAAAAACTAATTGTAGTTCAGTGTGGCGCGTTTATGTACGAAACAGCCTTTCAGAAATAAAGAAAATAAATAAATAAATAAAATAAAATTCTCTAGACATTTAAAGACGTATTATGGTGCCAAAAGCTATCAGTCACTGTGACTGACCAGACGATGTGTGTACATGAATGCCGTCATTTGCTTTGAAATGGAAACACCAGCCCTCTTTCTTTCTTTTCACCGCTTTTCGAAGATGACTGATTTCTTAATACAACCTAACTCGTACGCCCCGTATCAAAATAGTCGTTTCCATAGTAATTAATTTTGTGAATGAAAATGCTTATAATGATGCGTAAATTTCAAGATTAGTTATTCCTATAATTTTGCTTGAGGATGAAACACGGCTTGATACTTTAATTCAATTTAATTTCACTTATTATATTGAGGTTTTTGGCTCTTGTATTTGAAACATGAGAACTCTTATGTAGCGAAGGAATTATATTTTTTTTTAAATAATTATATATATATATATATTTTCCGTCATGCCAACACTCGCTTACAACAGTTGGCGTCTCACATCCTCCCAATTATAACCGCTATTGCCCTCTGACCATCTTCATAATAATATACCTGGGGCAGAAAAAAAAAAGATGATGAAGGTGGCAGAAAAAGGAACCAAGAATCTGTCAAAATGACCAAGGTAATTCAGAGCAGCATGAATCCATCCAGCTCTTATCTTAAATAACAACATAAAGTTGACAGTTTGACCAACACAAGGACTGACCAAAATTCATGTTAAAATTAAAAAACAATGAAAACTACAGACAAATGTTCATTTTCTCCATCTGTTCTTTTAAGTTTTTTACACCAGTTGGAATTCTTTTGTCCCTCAGCATAGAAAAATAAATTTAATTAAGACTTTAGAACATCGAGCCCTATTAATTTGTTCGTCATGTACACACGAGCAGGAGTTGAATAAAATCCGTTGTATTCTTGTCAATAAT